CTTTCTTTCTTTCTTTCTTTCTTTCTTTCTCTTCATCCTCCTCCTCCTCCTCTTTCAAATTCCTAAATTTATATTCTGAAACAGTGTCAGATCTTCCCTCCCTCCTTCCTTCCTTCCTTTTTTCCTTCCTTTTGGGCCCATCTTTTCCAGCTTCAAACGGGGCTCAGCAGAAGAGGGGAAAAGGTTCCGTTCACTCCAGGGGAGTCTGTACTTTTTGCAAACTGGTTTGCAACCAGACCGGAAACGTTCTAATTCCCACGCTTCTCAGATGAGGTTTCCCTCGGCTCCCAAACCTCAAAAGCAGAACATAAAAGTGAAAAATACATATATTTCCTTGAAGCAACGGTTGCCACACTCTGCCTAGTTGTGCAGGGTTTTCCCTGCTGCAGTTTGCAGCCCCATTCAGACTTCCCCCCCCCCACCAAGCAAATTAACACAGGTGCCAAGAGCAGGAGGTTAATCCTTCCTTGGGCTGAGCTCCTTGGCATCCCAGCTTGCGTTGTTCTCCGCAGCTGGGAAGAAAGGAAGAAGGCTGCCGCTAGCCTTCCGCAACTTGATGGCCTACAAAGATTTTGGTTGTGCAGCCTTGCAGGTGGTCAAAACGGGCGTCTCTACCTAGCATGCCTAGGACAAAAGGAAATATGTGGCTAGAAGGAAGCCACGCTCACCCTAATTGGTTTGGAACGCAAATGCAATTGAATCCAAGACTAGGAAGGGATCTGTCTTCTCCTCCCTTCCTGGATTTGAGCTGGAGAACCTGGCGACACAAAACTGTTTCCCATGAAGTAGGATGCCCAAATGCCAGGATCTCAGAAAGGGTAGGGAGGAGGAGGAGGAGGTGGTGGAGGAAGAGGTGGAGGAGGAGGTGGAGAAGTGGAGGAGGAGGAGAAGGAGGAGGTTATATCTGGATTTCCAGAAGATGTTCTCCAGGACCCACACCCCCACTAACCTGACCCATCACCGATTTATATTTCCAAAATCAGAAGGAACCTGAATTGAGTTTCTTTAGAGTTATCGTTGTGATTCTTTGAGTTGGGAACTCCCAACGCATTCCTGATTTGTTTTTGGGTTTTTTTTTTGTCTTCTCAGAAATGGGCTCCAAATGGAACAGCTGGTATCTCCGTGGAGGTCTGACTCTTTTGGGTATCTTTTCTCTGACTGCTCTGATCCTCAGCTTGGTGAGAATCCACAGCACCACACAACCTTCTGAGAACAAGGTGAGTGCGCAAAGCGCTTGGGAGACCACGTGGCACGATGGTTAAAGGAGCGGATCGGGGTTGGAAAGACTGACTCCAATTCAATTTGAGGAGTGGTGTCTTCAAGATGCCTTCAAGTCCAAGATAAGAAAAACAGAATATCTACTTTAACTATCTATCTATTTGAATGTGGTGGTTGAACCCTGGAACACTGTCTTCACAATTTAGACAGCTGTCTAGATTGTTTCATTTCAAACCACTTTTTAAAATGCTGGAATTGCATTTTTTTTTAAAAAAATACCTTTCTGCGGATATAGGCTCCTACTTTCACTAAACTTAACAAAATTTAGTTCCTTTTCATTTAAATTTACTAATGAATACACTGAAGGCCATAAACATTTTCTTATAATTGTCGAACAAAAATTGCTTTCCCATAACAATGTTATATCTTTATTTTCTCCTTACAAAGTATATTGTACCATGCAACTTAGGCCTCTCTGTAGTAATAGCTGGACTGAATTTCCAACTTCAGAATAAAATTAGCTTGGGATGTTATTTGCGGAGAACGTGGTAAGAGTTTCTCCGATCTGACTATTTTATTTCTGAATGGCTCCTTTCCAGTATGGCTTGGTGTTTGATGCGGGTTCATCCCACACGTCCCTCTTTGTATACCAGTGGCCGGAGGAGAAGGAAAACGATACGGGCATGGTTAGCCAGATGTTCTCCTGCAATGTCAAAGGTCAGCTTTTTTTCTTTCATTATTCTGAGATGTATTATGGTGTCTGTGGAAGGTGAGATGGAGTGTTCAATAGCAAAGAATATACATTACCAAACTAGGTGATGTAGCACTGAAGATGTTTCCTAGTTGGGTAATGAAATGTCTGCAAGAAAACAACCAAACTCAGAGAGCATCAAGGATGACCTCCTTCTCTTCCTCCTCCTCCTCCTCCTCCTCCTTCTCTTCCTCCTCCTCCTCTTTTTCCTCCTCCTCTTTCTCTTTCTCTTCTTCCTCTTCCTCTTCCTCTTCCTCTTCCTCCTCCTCCTCCTCCTCCTCTTCTTCTTCCTCCTCCTCCTCGTTCTCTTCCTCCTCTTCTTCTTCCTCCTCCTCCTCCTCCTCCTCCTCCTCCTCCTCCTTTTCTCACTTTGTTTTTGGTCATCACAGGACCTGGAATCTCAAGCTACACCAGTAACCCTCCACAGGCTGGTGGTTCTCTGCGGGAATGTCTGAATGCAGCAATGAGAGTTATCCCTCCAGAAAGACAGCAAGAGTCACCAGTTTACTTGGGAGCTACAGCAGGCATGAGACTGCTCAGGTACAAACAGTCAGGCAGCAAATAAATTCAATAATAAATAAAAATAAATAAAGGGTGAAAGCATGGTGCTAAAGTCAGGTTTGTTTAATCGTTGTTTATTAATGCAAACAGAACTGGCTTTGCACCATAACACAGTGCGCCATACACGCTGGTCTCAAGGGTGGCTGTCAGCCGAGGATTATTTCTATGTTTCTAGTCCTCGTGAAGGCAAAAACCCACGCCTTTCTGTGTGAACGATTCTGCAGGATGCAGAACGAGTCAGCTGCGGCGCAGATTTTGGAGGCGGTCTCGCAAACGATCCAGAAATATCCCGTGAATTTCCAAGGGGCTCGAATTATCAGCGGGAAAGAAGAAGGGGCCTTTGGCTGGATCACCATCAACTATCTGCTGAACTCTTTCACACAGGTAGGGACGGGCTCGGGGTAATTGAAGGCAAACTAAAGTATCCAAGGAGAGATCCAGCCTAGAACTAAAAAGAAAATTCTTGGCAGTGAGAACCATTAATCAGTGGAACGGCTTGCCTCCAGAAGTTGTGGGTGCTCCATCACTGGAGGTTTTTGAGAAGAGATTGGACGACCATTTGTCTGGAATGGTGTAGGATCTCCTGCTTGAGCAGGAGTTTAGAAGACCTCCAAGGTCCCTTCCAAATATTCTATTCTATTCTCCAGTACTCTGCAAAAGACCGAGGCTGGATCCGTCCTCCCTCAGCCAATATCCTGGGAGCCCTGGACCTCGGGGGAGCCTCCACCCAGATCAGCTTCATCCCGGCTGGTCCGATCGCAGATCCATCCGAAGCCCTGCAGTTCCGCCTCTACGGCTTCGACTACACCATCTATAGCCACAGCTACCTCTGCTACGGCCAAAACGAAGCCTTCCAGCGGGTGATCCGGTTGATCCTTGTAAGCGAGCCCGATGGTAACTTGGAAGCCACCAGGAAGGGTGGGGAGATTAAGGAAATTTCCTGACAGTTAGAACAATTAGCCATTGGAACAACCTGCCTCCAGAAGCGGTGAATGCTCCAACACTGGAAGTTTTTAAGAAGAGACTGGACAGCCATTTGTCCGAAATGGTATAGGGTTTCCTGCCTGAGCAGGGGGTTGGACTAGATGACCTTCAAGGTCCCTTCCAACTTTACTATTATTATTATTATTATTATTATTATTATTATTATTGTTATTGTTATTGTTATTGTTATTGTTATTGTTATTGTTATTGTTATTGTTATTATTATTATTATTATTATTATTATTATTATTATTATTATTATTATTATTATTATTATTATCTAAAATGCAATTCTAGGGATGGCTGGTAGCTCAAGGGTTAATCCTTGTTGGCTTTTTTAGTCTTCTGAAGTTTTGAACTATGATTGCCATTTTTTATTTTTTTTTACTTGCCAATGTTCACCTTGTTCCGAATTCTGTTCGGAACTNTGGATCTGGATCTTTCGCGCCTGACCATTTGTGTGTGTGTGTGTCGCTTTCAGGATGGACCTGCCGGCGTTGAGGTGGGTCATCCCTGCTACCCAAAAGGCTACGAAGAAATAGTACAGAGGGCATCCCTCTCTAGCAACCCCTGTACCAAGCCTCTCCCCCCAACCGCATCTTCGGGGAACGTAACTCTGGTGGGCAACGGGAACGTCACGCTATGCCGGGAAAAGCTCAAAGCGATCTTCAACTTCTCCGGCTGTCGAGACCCATCATCCTGCGGCTTTGAGGGGACCTACCAGCCGAGAGTCAACGGGAAGTTTCTGGTAAGAGCTCTTGCTAACAAATTCCCGAATTCCTGGATCAGGGAACTGCGTTTAGGGGCGCGCGCTGAGATCAGGGAACAGCCCTTGACTTCAGCCCAAGGTTTCTGCTGCAAAAACGAGACCCTTTGTGAAGTAAGTTTCACAAACCATTTTGCAACCTTTCTTGTCCCCGGTGCTCAGCGAACCCCCTGCAGTTGTGACGTTAGTCATGCAGTTGTGGAGTGATGTGGCTTTGTTGTCAGAAGGCCACACAAAGGGGATCACGTGACCCGGGGACACTGCGGCCGTCATAAATACGAGCCAAATTGCCAAGCGTTCCGAATTTTGATCGCCTGATCATGGGGATGGCTGCAAGTGTGAAAAATGGCCATCAGACACTTTTTTCAGTGCGGCTGTAGCTTCCGACGGTCACTAAATGAACCGTCGCTAAGTCAAGGACTACCTCTAGTTTGGAGCATCCATTCCATAAATTAGAGGCAGGAATATCTCTCCGATTTGGAGTCTGGAAGTAGGAAATCTTTAAATCTTTAAATTGTTGCTCCAGCTAATCTCTAAACTTTGGGGCTTGCCAAAGAAATAGGCGATTTGAGCCAGCCTTGCCTTGTATCAGTCTCTTTAAAAAAAAAAAAAAAAAAAGAGGGTGGGGAGGCGGGAGGGGGAACAAAAGATAATTGGGGTTCTTGGTCTAGCTATCTTCCTGCTTGGCTCTCGTGACTGCTTAGCTAATTCAGATGAGATCTCCACCCTGTTGGAGACATGGTGAGGAATTTCCATTGGGACGTTTATGTATTGTTTTAAAATCTTCCAGGCCTTTTCTGCGTATTACTACACGTTCCGCTTTTTGAACCTGACAGTCACTAGTCCACTGGCCACTGTTGAGAGAGCCATCCAGATTTTCTGTGCCAGAACATGGAAAGATGTAAGTATTTTATCTCTCTCTCCCTCTGTCCATCTATCCATCTACCTACCTACCTATCTATCTATCTATCTACCTACCTACCTACCTACCTATCATCTATCTATCTATCTATCTATCATCTATCTATCTATCTATCTATCTATCTATCTATCTATCTATCTATCTATCTATCTATCTATCTATCTATCTATCTATCTATCTAT